GGTAGCAAAAGGCTACAGCAGTGAGGTGCAGCCAGCACCTGCTACAAGTGGCGAGTTGTTCACAGTAATGGGAGGCGCATCAGAGTAAGGAAAGTTAAGAGTGAAGTCTGAAGGTAGGAAATCACTTCTCTGTTCTCCAGGATGAATGTACTTCAGTGGCCAGTGAAGGTAAGGGTATACTGCCCTGCTAATGAAGGTAAGCGCATTCTTGTGGTTGGTGACTCTCAGGTAAGATATGTTGACCGTGCTTTTTGTAATAGGAATAAGAAGATGAGAGATAGAGTGTGCTTCCCGGGAGCTGGTGTTGGGGACATTGTCAACAGACTGGATAATATCATGTCAGGTAATGGGAACAAGCCCATTATCTGTCTCAGTGCTGGTGGAAATGATATTGGGAAGGGTAGGAGAGAAGAGCTGCTAGTTAAGTACAGGTCAGCTATAGATTTCATTAAGTCTAAGGGAGGGATCCCAATCATATGTAGCATCTTGCCTAGAAGGGGAGTAGGAAATGAATGGTTGTCTAGGGCAATTGGTGTAAATTGCTGGCTAGACAGATACTGCAAGGAACTTGCAATCCATTCATTGACAACTGGAACAACTTTTATGGCAAACATGATATGTATGCAAGGGATGGGGTTCATCTCTCTGGGGCAGGGGTGGTAGCACTTGCAGACTCGATTGAGAAGGCCATTGGTGAAATGCCTATGATTTTAAACTGATGGAAGATAGAGGTATGGGTGTGTGTGGGAACAAGCAGGTTGCAACACTAGGGTTGGAAAACAGTAAATGTATAAAAGGCATTCAGCATGAAGTTATAAATAAAGACAATAGAACGGGTTTCAGCAAACAAAGGGGGACAGCAGAGGGCAGCAAGGGACTAGCTCCTTAAGGTTTACTATACTAATAGCAGGAGTGTTAGAAATAAGATAGATGAGCTAAGATTAATTGCAAGTGCAGGAAACATAGATATTATTGCTATAACAGAGACCTGGCTCAATCTGAAAGATAGAGAGATGCCCTCTGAATGTCACATACAAGGCTATAAATTATTCCACACTGACAGGGTCAACAGGAAAGGTGGTGGAGTAGCGATGTATGTCAGAGACAATTTAAATTGTTGTGTTAGACAAGATATTAAATTAAAAAGCGTCAGCCACTGAATCTGTTTGGTTTACAGCTTCTCGAGGGCCGAGAAAAACTAATTTTGGGTGTGATTTACAGGGCCCCAAATCTTGATAGGGAGTGCAGTAAACTTCTATGGGACGAAATTCGTAAGGCATCTACATACGAAAATGTTGTGCTAATGGGAGATTTCAACTATTAGACAGATTGACTGGAGCATTTGACAGGAAATTTAGAGTCGGGTGACTTTCTTGATACGATCCAGGATTGTTTTTTAAAACAGTTTGTGACAGAGCCAACTAGGGAAATAAAACCCCCTTGACTTGGTTCTTGCCAGTAGGGAAACACTAATTAATAATCTTGAGGTTAATGATGAGCTTGGGGAGAGTGATCACAAATCACTCAGTTTTAACATATCATGGAATTCCCCTAATAATGGCAATCAAGTCTCCGTCCCTGACTTTCGCTTGGCTGATTTCATAGGACTGAAAAAATTACTTAGGTGGGCTGAACTGGAATGACCTGACTAGGGGTCAGGTAGGTGGTGATGGTTGCCGATATGATGCTTTCCAGGGCATAGTTCTAGCTGCTCAGTCAAATTATGTTCCAAATAGGGAAATCAGATCAAACAAAAATGATCCTAAATGGATGAACAATAGATTAAAATATCTGATTGGTCAAAAGAGAGGCATATATAGGCAAATCAAAAGAGGGAGAGGGGCAATTAAGAAATCGATATATTCAGTTAAAGAGAGAAATAAAAAAGGGAATTAGAAAAGCAAAAGAGATTATGAGGTTAAAGTTGCAAGAGAATCGAAGACTAACCCAAAAGGATTCTTTCAGGTATACAGAAGTAAGATCAGGGACAAGATAGGCCCACTCAAAAGTTCCTCGGGTCAGCTCACTGACAGTGATAAGGAAATGTGTAGAATTTTTAACACATACTTCCTCTCAGTTTTTACACAGGAGGATACCAGCGATATTCCAGTAATGATAAATTATGTAGAACAGGACGATAATAAACTGTGCACTATTAGGGTCACAAGTGACATGGTCCTTAGGCAAATAGATAAATTAAAACCTAACAAATCCCCAGGCCCTGATAAAACTGTATGCAAGGGTTCTAAAGGAATGTAAAGAGGAGCTTAGCACACCTTTGGCTAATCTTTTCAACATATCACTACAAACTGGCATGGTGCCAGATAAGTGGAAAATGGCAAATGTGATACCTATTTTCAAAACAGGTGACAGGTCCTTAGCTTCGAACTATAGACCAATAAGCCTAACCTCCATAGTGGGAAAATTTTATGGAATCAATAATTGCCGAGGCAGTTCGTAGCCACCTTGAAAAGCATAAATTAATCAACGAATCTCAGCATGGTTTTACAAAGGGGCGTTCCTGCCTTACGAATTTATTAACTTTTTTCACTAAGGTATTTGAGGAGGTAGATCATGGTAATGAATATGATATTGTGTATATGGACTTCAGTAAGGCTTTTGACAGGGTCCCACATCAGAGACTATTGAGGAAAATTAAAGCACATGGAATAGGAGGAGAAATTTTTTCCTGGATAGAGGCATTTGGTTGACAAATAGGCAGCAGGAGTTTGCATAAATGGGGAGGAAATCAGAGTGGGGAAGCGTCACGAGCGGTGTTCCACAGGGGTCAGTGTTGGGCCCCCTGCTGTTCACAATATACATAAACGACATAGATGAGGGCATAAAGAGCGACATCGGCAAGTTTGCCGATGACACCAAAATAGGCCGTCGAATTCATTCTGACGAGGACATTCGAGCACTCCAGGAAGATTTGAATAGACTGATGCAGTGGTCGGAGAAGTGGCAGATGCAGTTTAATATAGACAAATGCAAAGTTCTAAATGTTGGACAGGACAATAACCATGCCACATATAAACTAAATAATGTAGATCTTAATATTACGGTTTGCGAAAAAAGATTTAGGAGTTCTGGTTAGCAGTAATCTGAAACCAAGACAACAGTGCATAAGTGTTCGCAATAAAGCTAATAGAATCCTTGGCTTCATATCAAGAAGCATAAATAATAGGAGTCCTCAGGTTGTTCTTCAACTCTATACATCCTTGGTTAGGCCTCATTTAGATTATGCTGCACAGTTTTGGTCACCGTATTACAGAATGGATATAAATTCTCTGGAAAATGTACAAAGGAGGATGACAAAGTTGATCCCATGTATCAGAAACCTTCCCTATGAGGATAGACTAAGGGCCCTGAAACTGCACTCTCTAGAAAGACGTAGAATTAGGGGGGATATGATTGAGGTGTATAAATGGAAGACAGGAATAAATAAAGGGGATGTAAATAGTGTGCTGAAAATATCTAGCCTAGACAGGACTCGCAGCAATGGTTTTAAGTTGGAAAAATTCAGATTCAGGAGGGATATAGGAAAGTACTGGTTTGGTAATAGAGTTGTGGATGAGTGGAACAAACTCCCAAGTACCGTTATAGAGGCCAGAACGTTGTGTAGCTTTAAAAATAGGTTGGATAAATACATGAGTAGATGTGGGTGGGTGTGAGTTTAGACCTGATAGCTTGTGCTAACAGGTCGGTTGCCGTGTTCCTCCCTTAAGTCAATGTGACCTGACCTGACTAGGTTGGGTGCATTGGCTTAGGCCGGTAGGGACTTGGACCTGCCTCGCATGGGCCAGTAGGCCTGCTGCAGTGTTCCTTCGTTCTTATGTTCTTATGTTCTTATGTGCTTAATTGTCCACTTATTGAGGAATATATGGTAAAATAACCTATGTGATAAGTCAGTATGTTTAGTAATAAAAATAAGATAAACTATATATTAAGCACTTTCATTAACTTTACTTGCAAATGATAAGTCAACTGTAGATATAAATCCAGATGTTCTCTTAACCCTTTTGGAGTCTTTTATGTATCAATATACTCTTGCACTACCGTCACGGGATAGATATGGGGTGCACAATAAACCAACGGCTTTGGCGACAAAATTTAATCTATTTTCATGCATTACGCCTCTAAGAGTTGTTGATCTACAACTCCTGTGCTTCTTGAGGGCTTTTAGCAAGAGCATGTAAGTCTTCTGAGACGTGTTCATTACCTGAGTATGTTAAGCTGATGCTCCACGGTCTCCTGAAGAAGTTATGCTGCACCTCCTTGGCATGTGTTGAGATACCGGAAGAGGAGGTTATGTGCTCCCAAGATACTGAAACACATTTAGTTTACATGAATGTGTTAGATAAGATTTTGTTCGGATTTTTATCCCTGAAGGGTTAGCCACCCAGGATAATACAAGAAAGGCACTGCGTCATGCGTCAGTGCTCCTCAATCTTATACCCCAGGATGCGACCCATACCAGTTAACTAACACCCAGGACAGTAGATGTAAGGAAACACCCCTAATGCTTCACCCCTTTCCGGGGATCGAACCACAGACACTGTGTGTGAGGCGAGAGCATTACCTACCAGGTCACGGAACACGTGAAAGGCCAAAGCAATATAATACATATTTAGAAAAGTGAATAAAATATATTTTCAGTAAAAAGTTAGAAAATCGCATAACATACTTGTTTTTATTGTCTGTAACTTAAATTTTCCTTAAATAATGTTATATATTATAAATGACATTATAACTGATGTGGGTGTACTTGATAACTTAGATATTATGATATCGTAGCTGCCTCTTATGATTTATTACTCGTGTAATTATCAAGTTCTTAACAGGTTTTTCTGTTTCTTATTTTATGACAAAGTACATTGTAATGTAAAACAAAAAAAATCTTTCCACTGAATAATTTTAACTCTGGCTCGCACTTGTGTGTGTGTGTGTGTGTGTACGTTGCGTGCACGTGCTTGTGTTGCGTGGTGGACGGATGTCAGGTTCGTGTCCACCTGGTTACACCCTCTACAACTCTCGGTGCTACAAGGTGATAAACAAAAGTCCATTCTCCAACTTCCTGGACGCCTTGGACACCTGTAACTACGATGGAGCAGCTCTTGCTTATCCACAGGACATTGATACTCTTAACTACCTCGTTACATTTGCCCAGGTGATGTGAACACTTTATTTTTTGTTCTTGGCCTATGGAATAGTGAATGAGTGATCATATACTTCTCATACATATTGAAAAATTACTAGTCAAAGTGTGTGTGGAGAAGGTTGGTGGAATGCAGGAAAACTTTCAGTTATTTTTGACTGTTCTGATGCTGTAAAATAAAGTTCTTTATCTTCCTTGAAGTGTGTTACTTCAAGCAAATGTAAACAAGTTTAATTCTGTCATAAATCAGTATCACATATGCTATATTACTTTACTTTGATACCTAAGTCTTGAAGTAATTAGAATCATAACTAGTATTTTAATATTATTGTAACTCAGTTCATATTCAGTTGCTGGATAAAGAGACATCAGAAACATTAAAACAAACTGGATATACAGTGATGATGCTATTGTTTTCAGCGTTGGTCTTGCTCTTTATATATACTTGAATTTAATTGCAAAATAATCACAGCGAAACAAAAGCGACTAAATCCTCACATGCAACATCCACGCTGGAGTCAAGTTCAGTGTGATGTCAACTTCAGTTGAATAAGTCTATTTCCCGTTTCCTATTTATTTTTTACTATGTCTTGTAATGGAGGAAATCACAAGACGCTTTGGATTTCAAATATTTCATTTCACTGATAATACTTTTTGCGTATTGGATACACATGTTTTTATTGTGATCTTATTGCATTATTATAGTTAAACACTCTGGCCGACACCCAGTTCCCACTGAGTCAGAATGTACACAAAAACAAAAAACGATGGGGACGATTATATCTTCTTTTTACACTTAGTAAATTTATACAGGAGAAGGGTTACATGCTAGCATTTTGCAATTTGTCAACGAGGTCAACGTTGTTTTATATGTTGGCTTCAGAGACGACGTCCAGCATGTCAAGTGATTTTAAACTAGTAAGTTTTGACGTCACAGCATTGTTAACTGGGTTTCCTGTTCCTGTTCTGTTATCTTATCTGGAAGTAGAATTAGATGACTACACCTTGCCATATGATAAGACATTATTGAGTTGGTTAAGGTGTGTGAACTGCAAGTTTGAGGTTTGAAAGGAAATTTTGTGCTAAAAAGAACCAGAGAATGGATATGGGAAATCCATTGTCTCCCGTATTAAGCAATTTGTATATGGAGTTTTGTGAGACCAAATTGTTGAAAAATATCCTGCCCCGCGAACCTAAGTGATTCAGATAAGTGGAAGATGTCTTGTGTCTTTGGCCGAATCATATGGATATGCACACATTTTTACCGAGACTTAACGCTCTAGTTCCGTCTCTTAAAGTCACCGGCGAGAAAGAAACGAACTTTAATATTCCATTCTTAGATGTTCTGACCCACCGGGTTGATAGAATGTTTAAGATTACAGTTTATGGGAAGACCACTAATGTGTGTTCATATATCCACTACTACTCTAACCATGAAACATGAATAAAAATAAGAGTCTCACTACGTTTCTGAGAAGTTACTGAGTGTGCATGCGCCAAGTGTCCATGATGAGTAAAACCAGGAAAATTGTGATATAGCTTCTAAACAACATTACTCCTAAGAGTTTTTGGATACGCTTTGGCTGGCAGCTAGGAAAACTTAGCATAAGGCTGAACTAAGGATAACGTCTCAGATCAAGAATGTGCTGGTTCTTCCATACAATGAGACTTGATCTGTCCTTCAGAAAGCTCTAGAAAGATTCAACAGAGTTTGAAACAATCACACCAACCGGTCGTAAGCCAGAGTCCTGGTTCCTTGTACCTCATACCCGGAAAGAAATATTTTAGAATCACCAATTATGAAACATGATAAAACTTCATTATCTAATAATAGATTCAGCTTATTTTTCACTCAAGTTTTATGGTTTGAGGCGTAAGAGGGGGGAGTCTTTGTTTATAATGTAAACTTGAAATTTTTGTTAACCTGCTGGATCAAAACGTCTAAGAAGGAAAATTTAAAATCAACTTCTTTCTCCAGCAGGAAATTAATGGACGATACATTAACGTCAAGTCTCTGTTAAAAAGTATCCAGATCCACAGTAGTTTGTCACAGGCACAAGATGTTATACATATATGAACTATCTGGCTTCACGGGGCAAGACATCGTTCAACAGCTTAGTCTTAAAGAACTCCATATGCAGATTACTGAATAGGAGAAACAATGGATTACCAATAGCCATTTCCTGCCTTTGAGCGTAATATTTTCCCCACAAATTCGAACTTGCAATTAAGTACACAACTTAACTCAGTAATGGTGTTCTTCGGAAACAGTAAAGGAAGCTTATCTAATTCTTCCTTGAAGGTAAGATAACAGATCAAGAACTGAGACACGGATGAGCAATGCAGTAACATCAAAACTTGCTAGTGTAAACTAGCAAGTTTACACTAGCAAGATTTTATTCCTAGGGGAATAAAATCAACGTTGTTATTTATTTGGGCTTCCGAGAAGTTGCCTAGCAACCTCAACTGATGAGTTATATGTCGCAATCCCCACACAGCTATTAACAGGTCATGTATGGAATCCTGGTTTATGACTTTTATTAAGTTGTTTATAAAACATAGTATTAACATGGTCAAGAGGTTTTTTATTAACAGGAGCGTAAATTCCGCTGTCTTCTATTAACATGCTCATTTTCCGCAGCAATCTATCTTGTCCATAATAATTACCACATCCGCTTTTTCTGCTTTTCTAAGCTGTAGTCCAGGATATGTCCTTAATTCATGGTATGACAACAAATCGCTTAGGACAGTTCGGTTTCACTGGCCTGAGCCAAGCCCCATATACTATGCCTCCACATATGTTGAACGTTTCCGAGGATAGGTCACCTTCTTTTTTCCAAATTTCTAGAAGATTTCGGTAGGTCCATATATTTAGTGCCATCCCCCCGATGGAAGGCGCGAAACTTTACCCAAAACCCAAATCCAAGTGGTGACTGTTTTTCCTGGGTAAGCTCAGTACTGGACAGTTTACTAGCAATATCCTGGTTAGCGTGGTGGTGCCAACCTGCGTCTTCAGTACGTAAACATTCAGTTTTATATCTCATTATTAACAACCATTATAAATATAATCTAAAAACTGTTCTTGCCCTTCGAGTGCTGCCATATTGAAAAAAAATTATTTGGGCTTCCTCATCTTTATTAATAATATTTTCCTTTCGTGTTATAGAAGAACAATATTCTAGAAAGGTAACCAAGTTGTTCTGTATTATGGTGTGTGTGTGTGTGAGTGTTGTGGTGTGTTTGTAGTATGTGGTGTGTGTGTGTGTGTGTGTGTGTGTGTGTGTGTGTTGTGTGTGTCTGTGTATATGTGTGTTGTGTGTGTGTGTGTGTTGTATGTGTGTGTGTGTGTGTGTGTGGTGTTTTTGTATGTATGGTGTGGTGTGTGTGTGTGGTGTGTGGTGTGTGTGTGTGTGTGTGATGTGTTGTGTGTGTGAGTTTGTATGTATGTGTGATGTGTGTGTGTGTGGTGTGTGTGTGTGTGTGTGTGTGTGACTGTGTATATGTGTGTGTGGTGTGTGTGGGGGGGGTGGGGGGTTTGTGTGTGTGTGTTGAGTGAGTGTGTGTGTGTGTGTGTTTGTATGTATGTGTGTGTGTGTGTGTTGTGTGTGTGTGTAGATATGTGTGTGTTGTGTGTTGTGTGTGTGTGTGGTGTGTGTGTGTGACGTGTGTGTGTCTGTGTATATATGTGTGTGTGTTGTGTTGTGTGGTTGTGTGTGTGGTCTGTGTAATATGTGTTGTGTGTGGGTGTGTGTGTGTGGTTGTGTGTGTGTGTGGTGTGTGTGTGTGTGTGTGTGTGTGTGTGTGTGTGGGTGTGTCTGGTATATGTGTGTGTGTGTGTGTGTGTGTGTTGTGATGTTGTGTGTGTGAGTGTGTGTCTATGTGTGTGGTGTCTGTGGTGTGGTGTGTCTGGGTGTGTATGTGTGTGTATGTGTGTGTGGTATGTGTGTGTGTGTATGTGTTGTGTGTGGTGTGTATGTGTGTGTGTAAGTGTGTTTGTTGTGTGATGTGTGTGTGTGTGGTGTGTTGTGTGTGTGTGTGTGTGTATGTGTGTTGTGTGTGTGTGTGTATGTGTGTGGTGTTGTGTGTGTGTTGTGTGTGTGAGTGTGTGTGTGTGGTGGTGTGTGTGTGAGTTTTGAAGTGTGTGTGTGTGTGTGTGTGTGTGTGTGTGTGTACTCGACACCTATTTGTGTGCCAGGGGTCGAGTCCTAGCCCTGGCCCCGCCTCTTCACCGTGCTACTAGCTCTCGCTCTCCTCGCTCCCCGCTCCATGAGCTTTATCAAACCCTCGTCATAAAACTGTGTAAGGTTCCTGCCTCCACACGTCATTTTCTAGGCTATTTCCACTGCCTTACAAACTCTTATGACTGAAGAAATACTTCCCCGTACTATCTTCAGACTCATTTGTGTCTTCAACTTCCAATTGTGGCCTCTGTTTCTGGCCCCTCCCTGGAACATCCTTTCCTTGTCACCTCTCTATCCACGCAGTAATTTATATGTCGTTATCATGTCCCCCCTGACCCTCCTGTCCTCCAGTGTCGTCAGGCCGATTCCCTTAATCATTCCTCAAGGACATTCCCCTTAGCTCTGGAACTAACCTTGTTGCAAACCTTTGTCCTTTCTTAGTTTCTTGACGTGCTTTATCAAGTGCGGGTTTCCAAACAGGTGCTGCATACTCCAGTATGGGCCTAAACTTTCACGGTGTACAGTGCTTTGAATGATTCCTTACAAAGGGTATCGGAATGCTGTTCTCAGGTTGCCGGGCGCCCATATGCTGCAGCAGTTATCTGATTGATGTGTGCTCCGGAGACATGCTCGGTGTTATACTCCCCCCAAGATCTTTCTCCTTGAGTGAGGTTTTGCAGTCTTTGGCCACCCCAGCCTTACTCTGTGGTCTTCTGTGCCCCTTTCCCCCATCTTCATGACTTTGCATTTTGCAGGATTTAAAATTTGAGAAGCCCTTTGCTGGGCCAGGGGTCCAGTCTGTCCAGGTCTCTTTGAAGTCCCGCCTGGTCC